AGAGAGAGAGAGAGAGAGAGAGAGAGAGAGATGTATAAATCAATGGTTAGGAAAATGTAAATAGGTGAATAGAATGGTTAGGAAGACGTAAAGAGGTGTTGACCATTGGTCAAAATAATATAGCACACTTTTTCTTTCCATTATATATCTTTACATTTTCATCATTCACATTTATCGAATGACCATTGGTCGAAATAATATAGCACACTTTTCCTTTCCCTTATATCTTTATATTTTCATCATCCATCTTTATCGAATAAACCAATTAATTAGTCATCCAATGAATAATTAAATATCGATCAAATGGAGTGTAGTGGAAATATCTATCCCCAAATAGTAAACAACATATTCGTTTAACTTGTTAGAAGGATGAAAAAAACTCATTTTAATCGTTTCTTTTTGGTCAAACAATTCTAATATCGATCGTATTGTTACGTTATAAATCATTCCATTCTTCATTTTTAAACATTTCTCAACTTCACACTTTATTCAATTTGTACAACTTTTTCCTCCATTTTACTATCCATTTTTTCTTTTTTTTCTTTTTTTTTGATAATTATTGTTTAAAGAATGTTACTATAGTAAATGATAGGAATTATTGATTTTTTTTTTTTAAATGATAGGAATTATTGATTTTCAAGCATATAAAGATAAAAATGATCATCCAGAATATATTCTCCGGTTGATATTCTTATTTTTTTTAGGACTTCATATTATTTCATATGGAATTTAGGTTTGTATCTCTTGGATGTATACTTTCCTAATATATACCTTATTAGGTATATACATTCATTTCGCATATTATGTCATCCTTATACTTATATTTTTTGTATTTACTTTTTTTTTGTTTCCGTAATATTTACATAGCTTTTCCGGATTTTTTCTAGCATTTCATTTTGAAATATTTTACGGATGAATTTATTCTTGCTGATTATTATTTTTTCTATTACATATTTTCGATTGCTATCATTACACATTATCAATTCAACTGGAACTTTTAATTTCAAATATTATCTCAAAAACATTTGCATTTCTTTTTTGAATTTGTGTTCCGGAAAATATATTATGTTCAATCCGGAACGGTCGAAGATTAATGGACATATCAGTTCTGTTGTAAATCATCATTTAAGAATTTTCTTTTAATGATATATAATTTTTTGCATTCTGTTTTAGGATTATTCAATCTATTCAAGTATTTCATTGAATTTTTTTTTTTTGAAAATTTTAATGAAATTCTGACAAGGATGAAGAAATTTGAAACTTCTTCAGTTGAAATTATATTAAAGGATTTTTGTATGCTACGAAATCTCTGATATAATTTCAAATTACTTATAATTTAAAAAAAAAGAAAAAGCATAATTGCTGACTAATAGATTTCAGAAATGAAATAATTCGTTGCTTATTTGACAAATAAATTCTTATTTGATAAATTAATTCTTATTTGACAGATAAATTCACTGAGGAATTCATTCAATTACTGCTTTACATGAAAATATTTTTTTTATTTTAAATTAGTCGAAATTTATTTCCATTGCGCATATTTTGTTATTATTTTAAATGTATTATTTAATTTAATTTATTCTGTTGTCAAATTTCATTGTTAATTGGTAACGAAAATGTTATTCAAATTTACAATGGATGAAAATTACCGTATAAATTAATTTTGATCGAAACTTACCTATACCTAGACAAACTACTGTGATTGTAATTTCGTTGTAACATTTGATTAAACAGAATTTGAATGTAAATTATAAAATGATAGTAGTGATATTTGTTATTGATATTAGATATTAATCTATACACTTATCAACTGGGGTTATTGAACTTTTATTGCGACATTACGAATATTTTGTAATGAATTTTGAAAGGCATAATTTTATCAAGGAAATTTTAAATTTCAGGTGATCAATTATGATTAATTTTGTATGTTTGCTTTGTTTAACAAGTTTAGTAACTGCTGTTACATATCTTGATGATTGGGATGAAAGCAATGGTATTAGCATATTCGAATTGAGGTAAGTTAAAATTTTACTCAAACAATTTCATACCTAAGGCTAAGTTTACAAGCCAAACATTGCCTTTAATTCAATCATTTTGAGCTAATTTTAAACAAACTATGCATGAATATTTTCATTTTACAACGCTATTTGCTAGTTTTATACCTTTCGATATAACTAATAGCTGTTATGTTTTTCTTGGGTTACTTGAAATTACTAGGATATATTTACTATAATACCTCAATTGTACTAGGCTTATAAATTGCATACTGTATTAAATGAATTTCATATCAAATAAGCACTTTTTTTTTATAATTTAGGAAAAATAAATGAATTTATCATTGGTATTTTTTTTAAAAAAGTAATTTTGAAATAGAAAAAGAGTTGTGCAATTCTTGAAATTATCGATGATCTAATCCCAAATAGAATAAAATATACGATCTTTCATTTCTTTCATTTGCTCATTCTATCTTAATACTATACTTTTAACAATTCTCGTTGGATTGTCAATTTTCGAGAAGTATTTACGACTTTTTTCATCAAATTTGTCATCTTTCGGTAAATTTAAAAGAGAATTTTGTGTTAGTTTAGTTAGAAAAAAATTTTAAAATTGCAGTAAAATTGTAGTAATGCCATATAGAACAGTCGATTTGTTGGAACATTTCATTAGGTATTACAATAAATTTGTAATTTTATACTAATTTATTAATTATTTGTCTAAATATTAGCAATTGTTGTATAATATAGTTTACTTTATGAATTTATTTATTTGACTACTTTTTTTTTTGTTTCATTTTGTTTTGTTTATTAAAGTATGGATAATGAAAAGTAGTTGAAAGTTAGAGTAAAAAAATTAATATAATTCTTAAATTCAAATATATTCCATTATTTGGTTTTCATTCATTCCAAATATTTTTAATCTCATTACTTTTTATCAATCTACCTATATCCTGTTTTTTGTTTTATATTTGGTTTAGCTACATCAATTTATCTATTTTTTTCTTTTTCCTATTATTATCATTTTGTTCCAAATTTTTTAAAATTTCGCTTATAAAATTTCAATAAAGATAGGAAAAATAGCAAATTTATTTAGGTATATATAAATAATTTTATGATTGTTAAATCAATTATACTATTGATAATTATTATCATTATAAATTAATTTCGAAAATCTTTTCTTAGGAAAAGTTCATTGGCATGTCCAATAATTGTGGTTGGTGAGCAATGTCCAGACGAAACGCCACTATACTACTATCGTTGTTGCGGTGATTTAAATAGTTCCTGTTGTTTTAGGCTTCAGGTAAGCTTAATTACTTAATTACTTCAGTGTAATATTTTTCCTATCAAAATTCATAGAAAAAAAGAAAACGATATAAATATCATCATTCATTTCATGGAAAATATTGTAAATATTTAAATTATAACCGGGGAATTGATTAATCAATTCAAATTGCAAATTGTCACTTAATAATACAAATTAAAAATGAAATGTCGTAAATTTTTCGTTTTAATGAAAAAAAAAAATTGCAGAATTAAAATCGTTTTTTTTTTTTGTTCCCCGAAAAATTCCGGTTATTTCCTCATTCTCTACATCTAAATATTCTCTTACAAACAAGTTTCCAAAATTTTTTCATCCGAAGATTTCCTGTTAGATACAGGATGTATGCGATCAATTGAAGGATGATCATGGCAGTAGTAATTTAAAAATTCGATTCAATTTATCCATTCTTTTAGGTGTATTCAATGATTTAGGAAAAATTAAAATATGAATGAAATTTAATTTTATTATATTTCAAATGAAACAGTCGATATCTTATCTTGATCGGTCATAACGAAACTTATCAATAAAATAATATTCATATGAGAGTTCTCGTTATAATCGATTAAGACGATAAAATACTTATATGAGAGTTCTCGTTATAATCGATCAAGATGATCAAATACTGATATGAAATCAAAATATAGTATTCTATTTCGAATACGAATAATATCTGCTGTTTCGGATAAGATCAAGAATAATTATTGATCGCAAATGAATACATATATAATGGTATACACAAATAAAAAACTTTTTAAAATTCAAAATTATATTTAATTTTGTGAATTGCATTGTTCATTTATAAGTATAAAATAAATTCATTCGAATGTTTATCACTGATAGGTTTTTTTTGTTTTTTTGCTCAGTATTTTATATTCTTTCAGTATAGATATGCAAATGAAAACTTCTTCATATATTAAAATATACTCTTAAATATTCATTGATGGGTAAATAAGCATTGTAAAATTGTAATTAAATTTTTTTAAAAATCAAAGATTAGTATGACGTTGAAATTCTTGCAAGTAAGATATTTTAAATTTCAGAAATTATTTTCATTATTAAAACTAAAACAATAAAAAACATAATAAGATGAAAATTCATTATATCTTCATTTTTATCTTTTCTAATTAAGAAACTAAATTTCCTGTCATAATAAAGATAGCTTCGTGTCTATTTTTAAATAAACCATAGCATAATTTGTTAATTAATAATTATGCTTCTATTGCCATTAATGAAATTAATGTGATATCACTTTAATCAATTTAATTTTTACAGTATTACGATAACGAATGAACATACACATTCATTGAATATTCAATAAGATTTTCATAATAATTGAATGGAAAAAATTAGCATAAATTTATGCATCCTTACAAATAAGATGTTAATGATCATTAATAAAAGGATAATAAAGATCAATACAGCAACAAATTATCAGTTATTTTGATCATCATCTATTATCATTATTATTACTACTATTATTATCATTATCATCGATATTGCGGATATATAATGCCTAAATATGTCTAAATTGACCAATTTTATAATTACTCTGTCGATTTTAAATGAAACACAGCAGAAATTATAGATTTTTTTTTTTTCAGGAATGGGTTATTGTATTGTTGGTGATAATGGGTATTTTAATCATTGGCAGTTTGGTGGTTAATTTTATCCGTTATCTTTTTTGTATACGATAATTTGGTTTGGTTGGTTAATTTTATCCGTTATCTTTTTCGTATACGATAATTTGGTTTGGTGGTTAATTTATCC